TTCACAAGGAGTGACCTTGATAGGTCGACTGGCATTTTTCTCCAAACATTTCTTCTATTCCCAAATCAATGGATCTTTTAATCAGATACCAATTGCGATGGAAGGTGTGACAAACAGGTCAGGATTTTATTAAGCATTTTATTAAGGTTTCATGTGTGTATAGGAGTTGAATCCGAGTTCCCAAGAGCTTTGAGATGTTATTTACTTGAAGGGTATCATATAAATGCAGGTTGTTGTTCTTCAGTCTGGTGTTGTCATCATAAGAGAGTTGAAGGAAAATAGATGTTTGAGACCATCTTGCTGTGAACTCTTTGAGGGAGTGAGAAAAGAATTGGTTGAAAGTAAGTTTGCTCCTTGTTTTCTTTCACAGATCTTTCTGGTGGAGTAGTTGGATAGTATCCAAACACTGTGATTGTTGCCCTAATAGATCAATGTGTTCAACTCTGCTGCTACACATCATTTATTTATTGCATATGACCTTGAGTGAAGCGGACACTGAAAGCCCCAGAACACCCCTATTAATCTCTTTTCAGTCTGAGATTTTGAACTAATTGCTCTGCAGACCTCTCTCTCTGGTAAACCCGAAACATTTTTTCGGGGGTGAGGGGGAAAATGGCATATAGGTTAAAAAAGGTCTATTATTTTGGAGTGTTTATACTAAGCAACCAACATAAGAAAGCACAGACCAAGAAGATGTTGTTCGATCTGGAGGCCTCTCTGCTGTCGACTTTAACTCCAACTCACCTATTCTTGCTCCGGGGGAAACATTCCACATCGATATTCCCTGATCCTGTGCGCAATTGGCTGGTACGTTTCACCCACAAATTACAGTCAATTCAATTTACTATATATTCTGTGAAGCGCTTTGAGACGTCTCAAAGACATGATAAGGCGCTATAGCAAGGGTTATTATTATTATTATTATCCTAAATGGTGATCAAAGAAAAACTAAATTCTTCCAAATCCACATCTCCATTATTTATAAGTGGCCCTCCTTCCTGCTACAGTCAATAATTATCTCATCCATTCCCCCAGCACACAAAACAAAATGCATCCAGGTGTCTGGAATCCTTCAGTGAACAATCAATAGTCAGACCTATCCTTTTCCTCACCATCGTTGGGAATGGACAATCCATTCGGAACACCCGTTTACTTTTACTTACCACCAATATGCATCACTTTGCATTTATTTGCATTAAAATCCATCTGCCACTGCTTAAATCAGCTTATGCTCCTTGTATTATTCACCTGGCAACATCGCATGCTTTGGTGCCATCAGTAAATATATTAATATACAAGAAGTGTTCTCCAAATCATTTACACACAGCGTTAACTGTGAACAGCAGTGAGAGAGAACAACTCCTCCACAATAGCTGTTGGGAATAGTTATCTGCTCCAGTCTAAAGGTTCTTACTTTTCTGAATTATTTTCAGCAGCTGCTTTAATAACACTTCCAATCTATGAGAAGGGTGATTTTATCATCGAACAACCAAGGCAGTGCGTAAACTCAATTACTGTAATTAATGATTGAGTATTTTTTGAAACGTACAGCAAATATGAGCTGCACTCACAATCTTACTGAGCTATACACAAAAGTCTATATGTAAAATATTAGCTGGTCTGCAAAACAGAATTGGAGGGAAGGGGGAAAACATGGTGACTATCACACACACATCTCTTAAAACTAGCAAGCTTTACTTGATTTAATTCTTTAAAAAAAAGGATAAATATATACTTGGCAAGTTATTGATGCATTCAATTGCAGACTGAGATGGGCAACAACAACTTGCATTTATACTGGATCTGAAGGTCTATGGTTTCAGACATCAAATATTACACAAAATACACAGTCACTACACGCTACAGTATCTTCTGTGAAGCACTTTGAGTCGTTTTGAAGAAGTGATAAGATGCTGCATCAAATTATTATTATTGTTATTATTATTATATTAATCCGGAATCTAGAAATATCGGTGTGACTCATGGAAATATCAGAATGAGTGAACAGGAAGCTTCCTGTTACTGGTAAGATTGTAGTTTACTACTAGGAAGAACCAACAGCACACATAATGCCTAGACAAATAGGATTACCTCACCCGTGAGAGTTCTGGCTCAAAGTTTTCAAAGTCTCAAAGGTTGACCTGCCTGCCTGACAAAAATCATCAGTAAATAAGATTGTTCTGCAATAGGCAATTACTTTTGAACACGGTTTCAGCGACTCCCACACTTATGACTGCTCCTGCAAAGCAGATTGCAGGAACCTATGTTCTCTCACTGAAAAACATTTTACCACTTGCCAGTTCAGCACATATTAAATAGATCGGTATTAAAGTCATCAAGAGATTTCAGCTGCTAGACATGTGAGCATAAGATATATCAAATGCAAAGATTATTCTTATACATGTACTACGTACACATGGTCACATAAATATATACAAATAGCCTTTATATTAGGCATGTGGCAAAAGTGCCGTTGGCACTATCCAGGTATAACATAATAATCCCTTGCAATTTAAAAATATATATATTTTCTTCGGGTAATGACTAAACAAATTGCAAATGGCCACACTGTAACATTTGGCAGGTTATTAACATTAATGATACCATGAACCAACCTGTTTTACCATTGGCTTAATGCCACTTTAATAAATAATTTAGTGGAGGGAAAACTGAGCCAGAGGACACTCTGTCAACGAAAGTGATAACTCACCACATCTATTGGGATCTAAGCCCCAATGGGGATGTATGGAAGAAAGCACAAGCACCACATTTAAGATGTTGCCATGGCTACACAGCACAGCCAATATTATCCAATATCACTGCACAGTAAGATCATTGCTGCTTAAGAACAATTGATAAACTGTAAGTGCATCACTTTACAGATTTATCCATTCTGTCCAATTTTCCTTGACACAATGTAAAAGTAAAATTGCAGCCCTTCACGCGATACAATTCCAATATAATGACTGTTTTTAGTCATTTTCACAGGTTGAGTGTTCTTTGTGAGAGATTTAGGTGAACCGTGCAACTTAGAAGGTGGGTTTTGTTCTGTTACTTGAATGCTATGGTAAATATTTGTTTTCCTTAAGAATTGAAGTGACAGTATTGTGTTTCTGTAGCAATAAACCCCGCTCATAGATTTGAAATCACGAGCGTATGTTTGGAAATTGGTTGCGATATTATTCAAATAATATATTCCAAATTTACATCTCCCCCCACACAAAAAAATTGATTGATACAAAATCATACAGTTTTCCAAACCTGCTAAAAACAACCATTTGCAGATGAACATTTCAAAGGCCTGAGAAAAAAAAAGAAAAAAATTTTTTTTTTCTCCCTGAAAGTAATGACTGAAATGTACCTAACCATCTGCCAACATTTCAATGCACAGAGCAGTGTTCAATGTTGAACAGTGTTTATGGATAAAGGAGAAGGCACAGCTGAAGAGGTAGATTTTAAGGTAAGCTTTTAAGACAGATGGTGGGGGTGGAGGGCCAAGATGGAATGGTGGAGGAAGGGAGTTCTAAAGGTTAGGGATGTAGGGGCGATTGATGGAAAAAATGAATGAATCATTGAATGTTACAGCTCAGAAACAAGCTGTTTGGCCTTTCAGGTCTTCCCTGGCGTTTATCTCCGTATGAGCCACCTAATCAAATGTTTTCGTAACCATCTTAAATTTGTGCCCTCTGATTACTAACTAACTGAACCGTGGAAATAGTAAGGCAGTATATAACTGTTGATGCAGCCCGTTTTTCCCAGTGTGTTTGTGAATACATGGGTATTAGCGAGTCCATTTGGTGCCTGCATCTGGGAAAAAATATATACAGTATATTATTCCTTCAAATGCAGTCAAAGTTAGTTCTAAAAAGTGTGTCGCCAAACCTGCAGTAAGTTAGAACGCTGGTTCTAGTTCCAAATGTTCCGCCTTTTCTAATCGGGTTTTTAAATGCATTTTTGTAACCCTTGAGCTTTCAGTTGTGTTAAATAAGATTGGGTTTCATTTCCTGACCTGCTGATGCTCATTCTGAAGAGCCAACATATCTCTTTTTTTATATAAATCAGATGCAAGTCATACTTTGTGGTTCTTTCAGGTTTACGGGCATTGATGTGGGACTCTGTCAGGCCATATAGATGACATTAGCTGTATTGAGCAAGCTGTTTCCAAACATGCTGTGAATTTAAACTGAGACGAGAAGACTGCCCAGTTCTTCTGAAATTTCAGTGCAATATATTTGTCCTTCTTTTGAGTTCATTATCTTCAAATCATCTTAAAATGGCATTTCCTGTTCAAAGAAAAGTCTCTCCGTGCACTGGGATTAGCCCACTTAGTTGATTGTTTTCATGAACAGATCAGGCATTAGTTAATCAGACATTTTTAAACCTCCGCTTTTTAACACAATTAAATACTGTATTTGGTGCTCGCAAAATAAATACTATTTTGAATTATACAAATTCTGATATACTTAATACCTTCATCTGAAAGCAAATACAGGGATTTTTGCAGCAGTATAACTCATTAGTAATATCTTTCTCAATCTCTGATAGCTTGTTTGTTCTTACCATCAGAAGGTTTGGACCATTTGAGGATACCCATTAGGTTTCCAGGTGCATTTCCTGGATCCAAGGACTGGCATACCAAGTGCTTTCTGCCTCAGCATGTTGTAAGGTGCCTCGTGGCAGCTATGTTCAGATGGTCCATAGGGACTGCAGCCTGAAACCTATAAATATTGATTGCTTATGGCTGTGGGTCTGTACGACAGCTGTGTGCAAACTTTTAAATTATCACCGTAAAGCTGATTACTGAAACCGAATTACCAGGACTATTTGTGTTATTTAATTTTTCATTGAATACCTGCTGTGTCGATCCATCGGTCTTTCCTAGACAAATCTAAATCGGAATTAGTCACGGCTGTTTAACTTGCATCAAATTCTGTCGTGCTGTACAACCCGGGTTACAACCGTGCATTGATTTTGCTGTTAAACAATGATTTACATTGCAGATGCTGCACAATAAGCATGTGATGGTGCGTGTAGGAGGGGGATGGGAAACGTTTGAAAGCTACCTGCTAAAGCACGACCCCTGCCGGATGCTGCAGATCTCGAGAGTGGATGGCAAGACCTCACCGCTCCCTAACAAGTCCCCGTCAATCAAGGACCTGAGTCCCGATAGTTACCTTGTTGTGGCTGCTCACTACAGAGGCAGGAAAGAGAGTGCAAACAATAATAGTGGTAACTGGGTGACAAAGTGATTATCGCAGTATTGACTATGCAGTATGTCTCCTCTATTATTCTGAGTAGTGATTCACTGCCAGTACGTATAACCACCTACAGCCCTTTTCCAGCCCCAGTAGGCCATGAATGATCCAAAACATTGAATCCAAGTCTCTGTGGATTATCATTATTATCATGATTGGCAAAAGCCGAAAAAGGCACCAAAAGGCAGACTCCTCTATGCAATCATCAGAATGTAATGACACTGCTGTGAATTGACTCCTGGAGCTCTAGTAAGTGCAAGGAGTAATATTTAAAGGAAATCGGTGCAAATCTTCATTGATTTTTCTCAGTTTCAGCAATTCCTGGGCTTGAAAGAGGTAACATTTTGCAATGCCTAGTTGGAACTGGGCATCTCATTAATTAAGGATATTATAGACATTGCTTGGCTCTCACTTATCCTGCTTCTCTTGCATTATGGCTGTTTACAAAATTGTCTGTTTGTAAAAAAAAAGGCAGCACCAATATTGGACTTGGATTGATTGCTGCATACCAAAGAGGAAGCCCACGTGTACTGCAATACCTAGGAGTGAGTATATCATGGTCTAATATTTATAATCCCAAACATTTACCAAAGGGTTCCTAAATCTTCTTTCCTGCCACCTGCAGGATAGCACCATTTTCAGATTTTAGGCTATGCCCGAGCTTGGAACATTATGTACTCTCAGAAGGGTAAGCTTTCCAGCTGAGTGGCTAAATATGGCACTTGATGCTGTCCAACTCATTTGGACATATGCTTGCTGGGATAATATTACCTTAATAGTCTGAATTGATTTCAATTCTCCCCCCACCCCCACCAATCTGGTAAATAGAAAAATCAGAAACACTCTTCACAACAGAAGACCTTCTGACTCCTCCATGCCCATTACTGAATTGAGGGTGACAGTAGTGCAGAAGAGACAATTTGCAACTAATCTGTATGACACCTTTGGGAGCTCAGGTGACGTGCAAGATGAAAATCTAACAGCTGATGGGTTGCTCCATATACCTCCATTACTCTGTGCCCTGACACAATTTAAGTAAAGATTTAGAAGAACCACTATATTGAAAATGGGTTTATTTTATTCCTTCACTATTTCTTAGTACGGTGGTAGGGTGGGGCGAAACCTGAAGTGCTTATATGTTCCCTCCACTCACCAAACCCGAGCGATTGGATTTACAGGTAATTAATGACTACATTCTATAGTCCGCTGACTACATCTGCTTATCTTGTGCACTCCCAATCTCCCCACCGCCTTCACAAACACACACCCAAACAAATAATGCCTAATTAACTCCCTAGAAGTGATTCTATATTAAAACTATTAATAGGACTGAATGTAATGCCCGCTCCCTCTCCACACCACCTTGAATATATTTCCAATGAAGTTCACTTAGACTACGTGGTTAAAATAAAGATTAGTCATTGCATTGAACCAGGAATACCAAACAAGTCAGACTTGCACAGCAGATGTGATCTACACAGCATTTGGGCATTCAGCATCTCTGGCCCCACACTCTGGAACTCTATCCCGCAATCCCTCCGCCTCACCCTCTCTTACCTCCTTCAAGTCCCGTCTAAAGCCCTTCCTCTTCGACCGTCCTTTCGGCCACTCTGCCACCCCCACAGGTCCTTCACTCCTCCTGACCCCAAATCCCAGCTCGGGTCCAAAAACCCCTGACTGTCCAGCACCCTGGGACATCTTTCTGACGTGAAGGGCACTATACAAGTGTAATTTGTTGTTGTTTTGGGCCCTCAATGCTGTTGCCTGAATGCTTTTGCATCATTGCCAGTATGCCTGCAGGGAGTTTTTATTTTTAATGGCTCCAATCCAATTACCAAACACCCTCCTTTTCATTTCACAGGTTATATTAGCTTTGATCTCTTCTTGAGCACTGACCAGTAACATAATATGAAATTAAGTATAGATTTTTCAGTATGCTTTTAAGTGTAAAACGAGCAACCAACCGGATGTAAATTCCTTAAAAATAGATTTAACTGCTGACAAACATCCTCAATTAATAAATTATATTTTCCTCCCTTCGTAAAATGGTTGGGGGAGTCCTGTAGCTCAGCAGTGAGAGCACTCGCCTCGCAAGTAAAAGACCTGGGTTCGATTCCCGGCAGGGCGAAACCTTGGGCAAGTTTGCTTACTCCACATGCCTGATAATAATCCCTCAAGAAAGAAAACAATAATATATCGGTTACTTCAATTCTCGACTTTTGTGGGACACTGATGTACGCAATTGGCTGCCGTGTTTCTCCCACAAAATATACAGTCTATTCACTTTACAGTATATTCTGTGAAGCGCTTTGAGACATCTAGAAGACGTGAAAGGCGCTATATCAAATGTAAGGATTATTATTATTACTTGATCCATGCTGGGACGAGCTGACCCTCTCAAAGTTAATGAGGAGTAAGTGGTTTCCCATGGCTTTCTACCTCTGGTTGCATTTGCACATTGGGATTGGATTCATTCATAGCTTTGGATACAGTGAGTATCTCTGCAGCTAGCAATTGTTAATGTCCATTGATGGAACCAAGATGGTGCTGAGCATCCACTTCTTGATAAAATTAGCCTGTGGTGGTGGCAGTAAAAAAAGACTACCAACAGCCTGCTTGCCTTCTACCTCTTCTATCCCAACAAAGCCTTCAAGTTGTTTCACTGGGACCTTTTCTAATCTTTTTCAAGCAATTCAAATGTTAAACTGAGGAACACCTCAGCATGTTATATCAATCGACATGCTTGAGCTTTCTACCTGCACATTTTTCCTGTTTTTCTTATGCTCCATTTTAAAATCACCGGATGGATAAGCTGCTCCCTGATGAAAGGGCAGCTAGAATAGGAGTTGAAGACAGTCGACTGCCATATAATGTTACAACTGCAAATGTAAGTGTGCAGCAATACTCTGTTGCTGATGCTGGCTGGAACAGTCATAAAATGTCAGGGAAATATTTGGCATAATTTATTCCAAATTGTCCACATTCGTTCAGTTTATTATGACAAAACATAAGTGAAATCTCCATTCTGTTCCTAGCAATTCAGCTCCTGTTTGGCATTGGAATTGTCTCTGGAATTATCCGCATCAGGACTGTTGGGGGTGGGGAAAAAAACAGCATGATCTACCACAGTGCATTAGTATGGAAGGAAATGACTGGATTCAGCAGGGTCAGGCTGTTCAACCAGCTTTGATATAAAATAAAGAAAATATACTGTATTTTAGTCTCTGCAAATAGTGCAAGTGCTCTTAATATTAAATAACTACAAACGTGCAAGCAAGAATTTATGTACACACCGAGTTTAAGATTGGAAAACAGGTGGTATGCTGAGGTTTCATTCTAACAAATGAGGAATGAATTCAAAATATAAATTCATCAACAAGCCAATGCTCATTTGTATATTTAAAAGTAACGTCCCTCAACAAGTCTTTGCAGAAATGCTTAAAGTGCACGTCACACTGGACTTCATAGTTTGACACAAATTAATCCAAAGATGACATATTTTAACAAATCTCTAAATTGATGGCATATTAATACATTAGCAGTTGTTGAGTATTTTGGTACAAGTGAAATAGCTGCCTTGGTTTACGATTTTTCTGTGCCTTTGTTGCAGTTTATGCAATATAATTTGTTTGCCAGTAGAAGTCGCTCTTATGAAAAAGAACCCTGACAGCGATTTTTCACAGGTTGCCTTTATTCGGTATGAATGAATCTTAGAATGTATATTAAAAAAAAGCAAGACATTTGTTAGAGATTCTTACTGATTTCTGTGAATTTGACACTTATTCGCCCCCCATTAAAAACCATTTCCTGCAGACAATAACATATCATGTAACATTCCCACTCAACTTTCTGTGAAAATGTTGCTGTTTCTATGAAAAGTTAATTTGTTCTATACATTTGTCATCGTATAATAAAAGTTACATCATAGGTGCTCAATTAAGACAGTCTGAAAAGGGTTTCCGGTAGATCCATTTTTCATAGCAAAAAACTGGTCATAATTTGTCATGAATTGGCAATCTTATTCAAAAAGGTCACAGATAGACAGACAAATGTAAAATGTCCCACTGGTGCAGTGGGAGTGGAAGATGCTCTTCTGTAATGGATAGTAGCAATTGAAACTCTGAACTGCACCAAACAAACTAAAGTGAACCTCAAAATCCTCAGGCAATAGACACAAGGAGGAAATAAGTCCCTATTCCTGAACACCATTGCCTTTCGTATCAATGAACATAGATGATTGCCTTATCCTTTCTTTCGGAAACTTTTTTGGTCGTGCACAATTATTGAAATTCAACGAATGTTTGACACAATCAGTTTTCTAGTTTAGAAGCTATAATTGAACATATGCAATTTTGAAAGCAAGTTTCATGCACAGTAAAAAGCAATGGCAATAAATTGGAGCATCATTGTGTAGCAGCATTATATCCCCTCTACCTTTCCAAGCTAAATCTAGTCATTGTAATAAAATAAAACTGGATGGTGCACAAATACCTCCATCAGAATCTGAAAGATTTTATTTCTGCAGACGAGGCTTCTGTCAAACCAGATGAAGCTTCACACGCAAAAGATGAATCTATCCTTTTTAAAATGTTATTTTACTTTTATTCTAAGTAACTGCTTCACAGTGCATTTATGATATGCCTCCTCTTTTGTTTAATAATGCATTTCTAAAAATAGAAGCATTTCAATCTGCAGAGATGATTCTTGTGCTGAAAACATCAATCTTAATTTTTTGATAAGGTTGACCCAAATAGTTTTGCACCTGTAGCTGAAAGAGTTTAAAATAAAACATCAGCATTGCTAATAATGGTTTTATGATGAGGTAGTTAGTTCAGACATTGTCTCTGGAAAGAATGTGAACTACTCCGAATCCTGTTCCTATGAACCACTGGCCTGATTTGCTTACCTCATCAAAGCTTACCAATCCTCTTGTGCACGTAATATCGTTATAAATCTGTACTTTACTATTCTTCTAGATGTACCCATGTAGCTCTCATCCGCAAAAGTTTGTTGGATTTTAGCAATAAACTGTACAATGCTGTGCCTCAGAATTTTCTATAAATGTAAAATATTGTCTGTTATTTCAAAATGTGATAAATGCCACAAATCATTGTTTTCGACTGGCCGGATGTGTATGCATAGCATTTATTTGAACAGTGATGTCTAAAATGTAATATTCACAAACAGGGTTCACTGCATTATTTATGTTGCAACACATCTGGTTTGTTAATATCACACTTGTGATCCCAACATAGATGAAAATGTATCACAACATACATTTACCAGATATGCAATAGCAATGGAATCATCTACATTGTCTTTCAAACACCTCAAATAAACACTGATAATGATAATGTAAAGTTTTTTTTTGTAAGGGGACAGATGCTAAGATATTGTAATCCCTCCTAAATTGCAGACAACACTATGTACAACCTAAGGGTACATAATGGACCTACTGAGGAATGACAGTTGTAGGGTACAAAAAATGACAGTCCAGTGCTGAATTTTATTATAGCATTTAGTTCAATGTGAAGCAACTGAAAAGTTCCTAGAAAAGATGCAAGTCAGCTTCTCTTCCCCCCACTCATTTGTAAGGAAACAACCAATATTTAAATTACCTTAAAGTAGCTTCCCAATGCATGATTTGCCATATAGTGCCAAATCAAATTAGTCTTTTTGCTGTACTTTAATATTATGGTGCCTTGTAATCAATTCTTTTTATACAAGTTTCTAAAAAGAAAAAAAATCACTGAATATTGGTGAACTGTGTAGATTGTTTAATGTAAACTTGAAAGGATGCCCTTACTATTGTGGGGGCATTAATACTGTAATCATTTCTGTTTGAAAGAGCCAGGAGTCATTCTTATTACACATCTAGGTGCACCAAACAAAAATGTTTCTGCAAACAATGTTGTGCTTTAATGAAAATCGTAAAATCCTTTACACTTTACAGGGTGATGATAATGCACCATTCCATCTACACAACTAATTGTCAACGTTTCCCTCTCGTTGTCAAAATACTGTGTTATCCTAGAAAGCTAATAAAGTATTCTTCAGTACTTGGCTGTTTTGTTTAAAAGACACAGATCTCTTTAAAAAAATAACAGAACAATGCTGCTCTCAAGTGGCATACTGGTAAAACTGCATCTACACAAACATCTTCGACTCTGTTAACTTCTCTCAATTACCTGATGTAATAGCACAAAACATGTGTCTGCAGCATCATATAGTACAATTTTGCAGAAAGTCATAAATAAGCTAAATTAATAGAATGGTTTTTTTGAATGCAGTGCTTCAAATTATTTTGATACCATATCACAAAGGTATAACATTCAATCATTCCCAATGAACGGCCTCATTTTCACACTTTTGGAGAAGAAAAAGGCAATTATTTGAAATTATTTTTTGTTAAAATTAATCCAGAACAATAGAGTACCTACTTCAACTCCACTGGTATCATCACGGCTACTGTATTTTATAATTAAAGTGAAAATATTATGCAGTTTATTCCACTTATGGTCAAATGCTCGACTACAGTAGAGTCCTGTAGCTCAGTGGTTAGTGCACTCGGCTCACATGTCAGAGAGCTGGGTTAGATTCCCGGAAGGGTGAAACCTTGGGCAAGTTTCCCTACTCCACAAGCCTGATTATAATCCCTCAAGAAAAAAACCCAATAATAAATTGGTCACTTCAATCTACGATTGTGGAACGCTGCTGTGCGCAATTGGCTGCCGCGTTTTGCCCACAAACATACAGTCAATTCACTTTACACTATATTCTATGAAGCGCTTTGAGACGTCGAGAAGCCGTGAAAAGTGCTATACCAAATGCAAGGATTATTATAAATGAAACTTGAGATGCAGCTGGTTATTTCATTACCTTTGTTGACATGAGCTTTATATTGCCCAGAAACATTAACTGAATAATCAATATTCAAACACTTTTACTCCTCCACATCAACTAACTTCACTATGTGCATGCTTTTGGTTTCACATAAAAAAAACCTCACATTTATATAGCGCCTTTGCATATAAACATCTCAAAGCTCTTTAGAAAATACAACTGGTTAGAAATGAAGTGAATGTATTTTTTTGCAGGCATTATAGCAGATAATTTGCACCAGCAACTGCCCGTGAACAATGCACTGAGCAGCCACTTCCTGTCGTTTGATATTGGAGATAAATTTGGATTAGGAGAGAATATAAATCAGGAAAACCAAAATTCTGCAGTTGTTTGAAATACCATATTGGGGTTTCTTGTTCCAAAATACATTACCTTACATTCACCTTCATTAAAATCCATCTGCCACTCCTTGGCCCATCTGCTTAAGCAGTCCAGAACTTCTTGAATGCAATTTATCTTCAAATGGTTCATCCGATCACATAGCTCAGTATCATTAACAAAAGTATTATATTACAAGTACTCATCTCAGTCACAGGAACAGCAGGAACCGGAATAGAATGCTCGGCCCACACTCCTAAACGTTGAAGCTATTATTATTTAATTTGCTATTGCTAAGCCATTTTCAAGCCACTCAGCTATTCTTTCCATTAATTCCATCAACTTTAACTGCCTGACATGCAATTTTTCTAAAAGTCCATATTAACTTAATCCACTGACGAATCCTCATCCATTAGTTTGATTGCATACATTAATTAGCCATACCTATTAGTTTTAATTCTATGCTTACTACTCCTTATGCCGTCTGTGCTCTTTAGACTAGGAGATTTCATCCTGGGTAATGCTCGCATTTTCCTAGCTATTTTAGGTTCATTCAATCATCTAGAATTTCCAAATTTACTTCATTTTAAAGATAACATTATTCGATTCCAGTTCCTCAGTGCCTTTGGAACTCTTACTTTACTGGAACAAAATATAGCACTTACAACCTGCCTTTCATCTATTTAAATGCTGGCTCTATTTTGATCTTTGAAATTATCATTTTTGAATATTGAGCGCAAAAAAGCATTTCTTGTGTTTGAGACCAACTAAATTTTTTGGTGAATATACCAACAAGTCTTGTGATGCTGTTCTGTTACAGAATACAGTAATGTGTTTACTTCTCCAATGATACATTAAGCAACACTAAATACTGCAAAGGAGTTTTATTTAGTCATAAAATGCAGCATTTTGAATAGCTCACTTACATACTCTCAGAGGTAGTCGAGTGAATCCACATTTATGGATTGCCTCTTAAATAGATCAAAGAGATTTGGGCCGTTTAAGGGATTCTACAATTTTGGTAGCAGCAAAAAAGGTTCACCAATGAATCCTATACATTAATGCATTTAATTAAAAGCGCCGCGAAAATAATTCTCAATACTTTATTGAACAGAAGTGGTAGCGTCAAAGAAAGCATCTTTTCATGCACCTTCCCACACTATCCAAGGCACTATGGTTAAAAAATTTCGCTGTTGATAAATATAGAAAACCAAGTCTAATAAAGCTACAGTTAAATAATTTAATTTAAAAAATTCCACAATCAGTAGGTAGCTACATTAGTTTATGAATAATGGCAATGGACAGAAAGAAAATAAACATTTAGCTTTACAATCTCCAATAAGTCTAAAGCAAACCAAGACTTAGGACCAGCAGCATACACACCTTCCGCAGTTTCATTAATGTTAAACAACTTGATTGGCCTAGTGTTTGTAAACGTAGGGAAGGGTGTTTTTTGGTAAGAATACAGAGGGCCTTTGTGCAGACATTCAGTGCTAAGCATAGCACATTGCTGGATCTTTCTAACCACACAACATCAAAAGCCACAAAAACACAAGCCTCTCAGTAACTGGAGCCGGTAGAATCCATGTTGGCAACAGAAGTCCGTCTTCCTTCATATTTCCAGGTAATTTAACCAACTTGCCACTGGGAAAAAAATAAACAATTATTTGTACAGCATTTAAAGATTTCAGCTGTGCATCACATATACGGTATTATTGAGACAGTATAATTCCTTACCTGAATCTGTGTGTTAATCTATCACAACCTCAAGAGAAGAGTTTCTTGGATGCTCAACACGTGCAACATACTCTCTTTACTTTTAAGAACATTGAACCTAGATAATACCACACTGCACATAACAAAATACCTTTATCTGGGGGTAAGAAACAGTAGTTTAACAGATTTACAGTCTCCCTCTTTGATATCTAGCTAGGTATCTATTTTACTTTTCTGAGCTAGAGAATTGAACCTTGTGTGCTACAATGCCAATGTTCTTGCTACTGATTTTGCTTTCCAAATTCATTCTTCATTGGTACCGCCAAGGAAATCATAGAATTTAAAAAAATCTAGAGTGTTTGGTACAATCTTGATCATGGCTAGTTTTCTATCAGTTACATAATTCACCATGTTTACAGTTTCTTCCCTTTTGCCTTATTCTCTTTCTGGCATTCTTTTTGGCTAATAGTTATGGGCAGACATGCAGCATTTAGTCTGCATCTTAACAGTAGACTATACGAAGGCCCGCGTGGGAAGGGATTTCGATAGCTCCATCATTGCTGGTAAAGATTCAAATGTAAATTCAAATTTAAGACCCAAATAATTCATAGGAGAAATTTTATAGATACAAGATTGACAGATTTTTTTTACAGAGCACATTGGAATTCTCTATCAGAAACATATCTGCCTGTCAAGAATTCATCAACACAATAAAAGCATTTTTGATCACGTGCACCAAATGTCATAGGTATATTAAACCAACACACATCATTAGCTTGTTGGCCAGATGAGAGAAACACTGGGTCATTCTCAATTCAAGTCGTCCAAACAGCTGTGCAAACACTTCAAAACCAGTGAATTCTATCCCCTGGTGACATTTCTGACAGAAACTCCAGTAGTTCGACCTGCCAGTGACACTATTTTCTGTTATCAATGTCTCGTGTCAACCCATGCATATGCCGATCAAACCACAAAGCTACATGGAAACAGCAGTAAGAGCAGATAATCTTGCTGTGACACCACCCTTTCTCTGTGTCTTTCATCAACCCAACTACGCCTTTGCTGTCTCAGACAAATTGGTTACTGCTGCCATATACATGCATATAACTGAACATGAGCAGATTTCTCACTGTACAAATTTTAGCTTACCCGAAGGCCTCCTCCTCCTCCGCCCCCCATCGACCCTGCATTTTTCTCCATCTCCTCTTGCTTCTTTTTCTTTCGCTCCACAGATTCTGGATTTTTAATGCCCCTGCTCACATTCTTCACAAAAGAGGAAACAATTCATCAAACATTAGACTGTACTAAACGTACTACATCTAAATTAAAATGCACAAGAAAAAAATGACATTTTAAATTAAAAAAAGTGTGGTGCATACTAACATATAGTACATTCACAAGTGGTAAATTACATTGAGAAAGAGGTATTGCCACATTTATACTAAGTCTGTTTCAGACAAGCAGTGCATTGCATTATACTAATATGCTTCTCAGCAAAACATTTATAGCAGAAGAATACAACTTAAGTAAAATATCACACATGCTGTTTTAAAATATTAGGAAAGCTCTGGTTAAGCCTACAGTTACTACGATAACCTTATCCCTATCTCTTTTAATGTCTAAAAAAGACAGATGTTCATCCACAAATCATCAACATTTTATAGCTCTCTAATCGTTCCAGAAGCGTTTAGTCTGTGTTTAGACTGTTACGAGGGATATATTTATAGGCAATTCAAGATTTTAATAAGTATATTTAACACAATGTTCTGTAGGGGGGACCAATGTATCACAACAGGAAATAGTGGAATGTGGGCTACTGTCCATCTCCCAAATAAAAAAGGCCTGTGCATTTGGCAGACCCATTTTGCATCAAGTGATCCTCGGGAAGAGGAGTATGAGTCCTCATTCTCACCTCCTTTTGACGCTTCTCTGCAGCTTCCGCCAGTTGCCGTCTTCTCGTTTCCTGAGAACGCATAAAATAATTCAAGATTCCATCAGAGTGCAGATAAAAACTACATAAGCTTCTGTAACATCAGCTCCTAAAGTCTCATCATGTTTCATTTTTTGCTTCTGACTAAGGATCACCATTGAGAAAATGGAACAACTCTTTCCCCTCTGTCCTTTTCTTAAACTGTTCAACAGATACATGTACACATGTTAGACTGTATCCTCTATCTAAATATCTCTAAACAATGAATTTTCCAAGGTACTGATTCCACTACAATGCTAACATTTGCCTGAACTGTACAAAACCATTCAAAAAAAGAACATTGGGACCTCAAAAACAATGCCCAGTCTGTTGCTTATCTTTCTCTCCCCACCCCATCCACCCACTTCCCTAAACCGCAATAACCTCGTCTTTTCATTTACAATTATCCATGTGTTCATGCAAATACATTTACCTTGCCAGCGACCACACCGCAAACATTCACAACAGGGCACAAGGAAGTAATTAAAACTCATTACTGTTAAATGTCGTCTCACTGGTGTAAGACGAAAGGGATCCAGGCGCCTCCTCTCATTATAGTCTACGAAGTGATTTCATCCGAAATGAGACAACACGGTGTTGTTCATTCCAATGTTAAATCAAAGGGCCATTATGTGACTCACGGGTAGACATTTAACTCTTTACACCAGTACTCAGCAATCTCCTGGGTGCTTGTGTATGTTGTAAACTATTACTCCATTGTTCTACATTAATAATAATAATAATCCTTGCATTTGATATAGCGCTTTTCACGTCGAGAAGATTATTATTATTATTGTGTTAACCACGTGTAAATACACATGTACAAAGGGGATTCCAGGTGACTTTAATTATATAATTAACAATAAATCTAAAGTTGATTCTGAAATCCTTTAGATTGGTTTTAATTATAACTTTAATACCCTCTGTAGCCTCGGTTTAAACAACCTGCAAAATTAGACACTGGTATTATTGTAAGATCACAATGAGTTTCAACTGTAACAAATACATTTTGCAACACTCATATTTTAAACCCTGAGAAACAAGATCCACCGCTCCGCTCCCTACACTGAGATAAGCCTGTGATAATCTTGATTTAATGTGCAAGGCATTAGAATGTATTACAGCAACACAACATAAGGTCCACTCAATGGAGCCCTTCAAGTATTATTCCAGGCATGAATCACAAACATCGCCACATTCCTCTAGTTCACCAAGATACCAGCAAACAGCTGTCTCAAGAGACGAAGAAGTCCTTAAAATAGCTAAAATCAACCTACAACCAAACCTGCACTGAAGACCAATTCACTGGGCAAAGTTAAAACGAGATAGACAGATACTTTAGCATCTTAAGGGCTATGATGAAAGAGGGATTCAAAGATCTGCCAATATCTAATAAACTGCTGGAACAGGCCCGTTGGGCTGAATGGCCTCGTTATGTTCTACGTTCCTAAAGGAAGGCGTAACTGTGGTTTCAGATAGAATTGAGGCAATTAAACTTCACAGACACTGAAATAACACAAACACTCCCATGTACTTCCTCAGTTTTAAATATCTGACAAAACCTGTTGACCACCCACCCGGGGACCCTCTTGGGGACATTTTCGTAACTGAAAGGCTCTTTGTAAGTGCAGGTTATAATAATAATAATAATAATAATCCTTGCATTTGATATAGCGCTTTTCACGTCGGGAGGACGTCCCAAAGCGCTTCACAGAACACACTGTAAAGTGAATTGACTGTATATTTGTGGGCGAACGCGGCAGCCAATTGCGCACAGCAATGTCCCACAAACAGTCGTAGATTGAAAATGACCAATTTATTATTGTTTTTGGTTTATGAAGGGATTATTATTAGGCTCTGTGTGGAGTAAGGAAACTTGCCCAAGGTTTCGCCCTCTGCCTGGAATTGAACTCAGGTCTCTCACTTGCAAAGCGAGTGCTCTAATCACTGAGCTACAGGACTCCACAGGTTGTTGTCAACGTGCACTGACACTGTCACTGTTAATCACGTTGTTTGTGTGTGTGTGTGCGCGCGCGGTGGGGGGCAAAACGAACGAGACAAATATAAAAAGATGCACAGGTTATTAATAATTATATACAATATCATTAATATATATATACTGTACTTTGAGGATATTAATGAATATGATACCTCGTACCATTCACCCTCAAAATACACAGTCAACAACAACAACATTATAGTTGTACAGCGCCTTTCACGTCGGGAGGACGTCCCACGGCGCTGGACAGTGTACAGCATTTCAGACCCCAGAGAGGGTCGGGGGTGGGGAGGACGGGGGGGGGGGGGGGGGAGGGGGAGGGGGGTGGCCGATGGCACGGTCGAAGAGGAGGGTCTTGAGGCGGGACGTGAAGGAGGCTGAGGAGGGGGCGAGGCGGAGTGACTGGGGGATGGAGCGCCAGAGGCCGGGGGCAGAGCGGCTGAAGGCTCTCCCGCCAATGGGTTCGGGGGGGGTACGGCCGAGCGGAGGGAGCGGGCGGGCGGGTTGGTAGGAGGGTGAGGGTTGGCAGAGGGAGGGGTGGCGGTGGGCGGTGGTGGGGGGGGGGGAGGGGGGTGGGGGGGGGGGGGGTGCGAGGCCGCGGAGGGCTTTGTCGGTGAGGACCGGGATCTTGAACCGGATCCTCTTGACACGAGGATCATCATTACGAATTATTATTATTGTATTATTATTATTATTATTATTATTATTGCTGACAAGTCGATCCGAACGGTAAGTATGACGGTCACTGCAGGAATTGGGATGAGCAACAACATGAGAATGCAACGACGACAACAACCGCCACCGCCCGCCTGCAAACATGGCGGGTAAAAATGGCTCCGGCCCCCGGGCCGCGCCCGGCCCGCGAGGGGAAACATCCTACCGGATCCGGCGTCTCCACCGCATCCTCGGCCGTCCCTCCCAGGCAGGGCAGGCACATGCCCATACTGCGGGCCCGGGGTGGGGGGTGTGGGGGGGACAGGGCCGGGCGGCGCCGCTCGGTGTCTCCGGCAGAGCAGCGACCGTCTCTCTCCCTCTCTCTCTCCGCCGCCGCCCCGCGCTGGACAGTCGAACGACGAGGGTGCGCCGGCGGCCGCCTCTGTTGCGGTCCCGTTTCCTGTCCGCTGCCCTCCCGTCGCAGCGCCACCTGTGGGTTGGAGGAGCGCAGCTCAGCTCTCACTCACTGTCACTGACTCACTGTCACTCAGTCCCAACTGGTACCAAACCAGAGGGCAGGAGGTTCTGATCCCCCCCCACCCCCTCATCCGCCTGATTCCATCATTGGCAGAAATCAGCTCAGAAGCCAAAGTGGGCAAATAATAATAATAATAATAATCCTCGCATTTGATATAGCGCTTTTCACGTCGGGAGGACGTCCCAAAGCGCTTCACAGAACGCACTGTAAAGTGAATTGACTGTATATTTGTGGGCGAACGCGGCAGCCAATTGCGCACAGCAATGTCCCACAAACAGTCGTAGATTGAAAATGACCAATTTATTATTGTTTTGGGTTTGGAGGGATTATTATTAGGCTCTGTGTGGAGTAAGGAAACTTGCCCAAGGTTTGGCCCTCTGCCTGGAATTGAACTCAGGTCTCTCACTTGCAAAGCGAGTGCTCTAACCACTGAGCTACAGGACTCCTAAATTTCTGGCGCCCCCATTCCTTCTGCGTGTCTTCCCCCACCCACCCCCGTCCCCCCCCCCCGCCCATCCCTGGCACCGGGGGAAGCGAACTCGCCCGCGCCCCCCAAAAAATGCACGGTCACTCCACTTTACGGTGCTCTCCCGCGAAGCGCTGTTCAAGACGTGCCGACGGCGTGACGGGCCGCCCGATCGAAACGCGGGGATTGCCGTCCGTGAGAATGCAAAGCGGCGCGAAGCCCCAGAAGAGTTCGGGCTGTCTCGAAAGGAGATGTCGTTTCGATGGGCTGCCGCGTTTCGCCCACAAAATGTACGGTCAATTCACTTGGCAGTGTGTCCCGTGAAGCGCTTTGAGATGTCTCAAAGCCGTGATAATGCGTTATATCGAATGCAAGGATTATTATTATTATTATTATTATTATTATTATTATTATTATTATTATTATTATTATTATATCTAAGAAGTGACCTTGGAGAGGTTTATACAGTTTTAAATGGGATTGAATAATAATAATAATCCTTGCATTTGATATAGCGCTTTTCACGTCTTCTCGACTTCTCAAAGCGCTTCACGGAATATGCTGTTAAGTGAATTGACTGTATATTTGTGGGAGATATGTGGCAGCCAATTGCGCACCACAGCGTCCCACAACCTGTCGTGGATTGAAATGACCAATTTATTATTGTTTTTTGTAAACCTAGATCAAAACTTTGAATGCGAGAAGTACCTGCGTTTAGAGTTACAATGGAAAATTTCAGAATAGATACAAGGAAGTATTTCTTTACCCAGCACCAGGAAAGATGGTTGAGGCCAGGACACTGGACTGATTTTTGAAACAACGCAATGCTTTGTTGGGAAGACGATCGGGTGGATATTCTGGAAGGATGTGATGAGATTGGCCAAACTGCCTTCCTCCTCCGAACAAACTGTATGAGAAAAAGTTCATTTAGTACCCACATTCTGCATCAATCACACCTAACACTTATATTAAATTTGAATTGCTTCTATACTTCATACCTAATGGGGTATTAACAGAATTCTTACTTGAGATCCTTGGGATCTGATTTATGTCACACACATTTCATTCATCATAAATTATGCTCTGTTGAGAATGTTAATCATGCTCAAATGTCTGTTTATAATGAGACTATACTATAATGAGCAAAGTGTCATTATGAAGAGGGTTTCTTTCACTGTAGGATATATTTTAGATCTAATGAGGTCTTAGTTGTTACTCCCAAACACTAATATTTAGCTAATCCTCTAATATTTAGCAGATAATGGAAAGAACAAGATAACCCAGTTAAGGAACACTAAAAGTAAATGTGTGCAGATTAGCTATTTTTTTTCTCATCACCCCACTACTTCAGACGAAGCCAATATTTTTTTAACTGAGTCATTAAACTTAATAGCTTAGTGAAGATTGTAATTCTGGTGACTTGGACATCATAAAACATTAATGTAAGAGTCAGTTAGCAACTCCAATATCAATAATTCAGAGTCGGAATACTAACAAGAAAAAGAGCTGAAAGCCTAGAAAGTTGAATTTGTTTTACGCTTTTTCATAAACCTGAATTGATGTGATAAAGTTCAGAGAAATAAACTGTGCAAAAGAGAGAGAAAAAACAGCTTTTTATTTATGTGTAGCAGAAACAGACTCAAGCTGACTAAATTTTTTAGAATCACAGCCTATCACTTGTCCAAACATGTGCGTTATCAGGTTGTAAACTTTGGGAATGGAAATTGCTTCCCAGCTGACAACAGGAAGCGAAGAGAAATGATTTGAATGTTTCCTTGTTAGTGAGGGACTGGGCCATAAACTCTATATACCTTGTGTGATTAGTTCAAATGTTTTAAACCCTGGATTTTCCCGGATAGGTGTGTGACTTGGAAAGCTTGGCAGCCGACAATATATACAATGTAAGGGAACATAATAACTATTTATAGTATTTATAACACATTCTGACTGATATAAATGTGTGATGATAACATGTCTTAGATTTGTGTTGTGTCGTACATAGCAACCTAAGGCTTTGGACAAAACCTACTTTGGACACTCAGAGACAGATTAACATTTATTAGGGGCAGTTTTTATAAACATTCACTTCACAAAGTTTTGTTTTATTCCAGCAGATGGTGCTGCTCACTGCAGAAAAATATATATATATACAGTAAATGCACAGAACATCTACAAAAAACAATGTGGAAAATAGTTCTCATTCTCAGCTCATCATATCTTGTGACTTTAATTCATTAATTGGACTAATCCACAACTAGGTTACCATAATTCTTGTAAACCAATTATAACCATCCATTTGATTCCCTTACAGCAACAGCTTCTACTTGCATAGCGCATTTCACATAGCTAATGTCTCAACGCACTTTACAGAACACTTAACAGGAAAACAGGATGAGGAGGAATAATAATAAAATAATCTATGTACTTGATATAGCGCCTTATCACGTCTTTGAGATGTCTCAAAGCGCTTCACAGAATATACTGTAAAGTTAATTGACTGTATATATTGTGGGCGAAAGGCGGTAGCCAATTGCGTACAGCAGTGTCCCACAAACAGTCCTGGATTAAGTGACAATTTAAGGTGACTGTAGGCACGGTCGAAGTGGTAGCTTTTCAGGAGGTTTTAAAAGCCAGAACTGGACAGGAAGTGAGGTGGAAGGATTTAGGAAAAGAGTTCCAGAGGTAATAGTGGTTGAAAGCTAAGCCACCAATCTTCACTAGACACAACGAGTCTGTGGAGACCAGTGAAGAAAATGGGAGCATCCTTCACCACTGAAGAACTGAGGAGAATGGGAACGTTCGTCTTTCCTTATAATATCTTTCCCTATAATAACTGAGGTAGCAGGTTCTCAGGCTTCGACTGAAGTTGTTCCTGAGCTAACACGAGGTGCACGAGAGCAACCTGGTCTGACTTCGTTTTTGAAGACCTTCCTCTTTGACTGAGCCTATGGTCACACCCCCCCCCCCCCCCCCCCCCCCGGCATGGCATCCTACTCTGTCAAGTGCTCCGGGACACTACCCTGTGTGAGGGGTGCTATATAAATGCAAAATGTTGTTGTTGATGTTTACTCTTGTTCCAATTTATCCCTGCTCGCTCAGGGGAAGCTGGACCTACTCTCAGGGCAATTGGTTGACAGGTCAGCAAAATATTGATGGATATACTCTGTGGAACTCTATATACTGTATCAGTGAACCAGAAACACACTGAATTGGGAATATATAAGGTTCGATAAAATGTAGGTTCTCTTGTACTGCTACTGGTAGAATGTTAACCGAACCCTTCGTTAAACGCTTTTTATGGATTCAGCTTGTTATTGGAGTAGTCTATTGGAAATGTGTCTTTAACAACTATCACAGATTTATTTATGGAGGAATCCAGTTTAGGTGACCTTTGTGTATCTTCGCTGGATGAAAGCGAACCCCCACAAATATACAGTCAATTCACTTTACAGTGTGTTCTGTGAAGCGCTTTGGGATGTCCTCCCGACGTGAAAAGCGCTATATCAAATGCAAGGATTATTATTATTATTATTAATCATTTTTGGATTTTAAAACTGGTCAAGAGATTCATTAAATATAATGAGGACAGCCACAGCCATCATTTTAGCCATCCCGCTGACTTTTCACAGCAAGTGCTATAACTCTGGCACCATCACAAGTTCCTGCCTCACCACAAAGAAACATCTAAAGTCACCATTTACAGGAGTTATTACATCTTTAAATCTTTAATCACTTAACACCTTTACATCTTTTCCGCTAACAATGAGAGGATCTGCTCAGCGATTTTTATATGGAGCTGAACAAGAAAGGTAATGGACACTTGACTCCTGCCAAATGTCATAGTTTCACATAAAAATATATCACTTGCTACATACTCTCTTCCTGACAAAAAGAGTGGGCTGTTTCTAGACAGAAATTGTGTGTGTGTGTGTGTGTGTGTGTGTGTGCGTGCGAGGGAGAAGGGGTAAACCACAAAGCTGGCTCCTAAACACAAGTGAAAACATTCAGTAATAATGTCTCATCTTCCCTTAGATTTGATAACATTAAAACAGTGTGGCCAAGTGAAATTATCCCCCCCACCTCTCCACATCCATCATTGATTCTCCCTACCTCTTCTATACTAAGCACTGGTATTAAGTTTTCTAGATTGTATATAATAAAAGCAATAAGCCATTAACCTGCTCGCAAAGCAAGAGGCAAATAATATTAATGCCCACCTAGTGTGTTGTATTTTCAATCAATCATTTTACAATCTGCTTTAAAGTGTCATGTTTTAATACGATTGCAGTCAGATGAATGTAATACAGGAGCAAAAGCGAAAGTAATGCAATCTGTAAATGTATTTTTTTCCCCACAGATTTTAATCATTTCTTTAAGGGGAAATGTT